ATAGAAAGTTATAAATATAATTCATGTATTTTACTATTGTTTTGTTCTCTAAAAACAGATAAAAATTAATTGCCATAAATTAACTGTAGATATTTTACATGTATAAAACTCTTTTCAATTCTAAAAAAAAAAGAATTTAATTTAGTTTTTTAAAATTAAATATGAATGTTAATGAATAATAAAACTTGAAATAGAAAATATATATTTTCTGCAGCCAACTATTGCTACTGCACATGACTTGGATTTTCAAAATTCCTTTGAAGTAATTATAAAATGAAAAACAAATATTGAATGAAGTTCTCCATTTTTTTTTTCAAGGTATTTCTCACTATTACTGGATAAAAAAACAAAAGAATCATCAATATCTTATGAATTATTTGTTCAGGCTATCATTATCCCCCCTTCTTTTTATTCGGTATATTTTATCATATAATTAAATAAAACAAGTATATTAAAAGCAGTCAAGTCTATAATTTAAATCATGGATTTTTTTCTTTAAAATATGTTAAAAACAAATCAAAGAAGAGGGAAACGAATAGAAGAATGAAGAATAAAAAAGGGCCTAACCTAGGAGGTAAGAAGGGAGGCCCAGCTGAGAAGAAGAAAAGAACGAAGGAAAAAGGCTTAAATTGGGGAGGTGAAAAACAAGGCCCAAACTAGCCCAAAAGAAAGCCCAATCAAAGAGAAGGAAAAGCCCACCAAAGAGAAAAAAGGGAGGAAAAAAATGCCTATACCGAGGAAGTAATGAAAGAAGGCGCAACCCAATCCATAAAGAGCAGAGCCAAGCTCAATAACGCCAAAAACAATGTTTAAAAATGTTCAAGCCACCGTAATTGTCCACTTGATTCCTTGGTTTACAGGTTATTTAGTGTGGCTTGTTTCAATGTCTTATTTTATAAATTAACAATGTTGACATCTACCTGAATAATTCATCTTCCAGGTTAGTTTTATGGTTGTTAATAATAAAACAATTATATTATTACTATAAGTAAGATTTATAATAAAATTACAACCCTATTTTTTGTGGTTTGAATTCATAAGAATCGAGTGTGTATAGAAATATTTAAAAATCACTAGCTACGTAACACAACATGCATAATGATAAAAACAACATTCTCTTTTATTTTTTTTTTAATAATTTTTATATTAGATATAGTTATTTTCAGTTCGATTCAGTTTTTATATAAAAAAAAAACAACCAAATTAAGATTAAAAAAAAAAACTAAAACCAAACCAAAACCAATTCAAACCGATCTATTTCAGTTTTGTTTGGTTTGATTCGTAGGACAAAAACTAGTTAAAACAGGATTGGTTTAATTTTTCGGTTTAACTTTGTTTTTTCAATTTGGGTTTGATTTGTTTTTTTTGTTTTAGACTTATAAAATAGAATCAAATTGGTTAGTTTTTTCAAAATTTTAATTAGTTTTTTTCACGGTTTAATTTTTTTAATTATTTTTTTCAATTTTTCTCAGTTTAATCAGTTTTTTGATTTTTTTTTGCTCATCCCTACTCTACATTACATTTTTTTAGGTATTTTATTAATCTAAATATTAGACAGTTTTTTATTTTATAAAATAAACTTATTTCACATAGATGAATAAATCAAATCATCATCAAGCCCAACTTCAAAAAATTATTTTTAAAGCCTATCAAATAGTCATGGAACAACTCATAATCATTTGAAGTTTTTTTTGGTTTATGAATGGCATTGTATTTGGGTTTGGGAGAAATTAGAACAAAACCTATTTCATATCTCTTTTTGCATAATCCTAAATTTCTTCTATAGATAACAACTATATGAAAACAACAAGACACAAAAGAGCAATCGATCTCCCCATCACAAGTACATCAACTCCTCCAGACCTTCACTAAATAGCCCTGCAGATAATAATGCTGATTAAGGCTGTTCTAGCCACGCAAAAATATCTCATAGCTTCTCATTAAGAGTGTCATCTTCAAAAGTCCAAAAGGTAATTGCTGCCTTTTAAAATACCCATCACCATTGCTGCCTTTTAAAATCCTGCTGCTCGGACAATCAGGAGCAAAAAATACCATGATATGTGAGGAGATTACATGCATTTTAGAGGGTAAATATAAGCTCCACCATGCGGTGGAGGCTTTTTTAATGCAAACAGGAGATAGACACCTGTCTCTTTACTTAGGGCTTTCATCTCTATAAAGATGAAATTGGATAAGGATGACATGCTGCTCATCGATACGAGAAAACATGTATTAAACACCTGTCTCTTTACTTAGGGTTTTCATCTCCAAAAATTCGTTGCATGATTGCCTATCATGACAGGGAACTTTGAAAACCATGATTGAATTTGTATTATCGCAAGACAATACAAAAGCCATTAATTTCTTACAAATAATCAATTGGCTGGTTGCGTGGTTATCAAAAAATAAAAAAAAGTCAATATCAATAAATTAAAAAAATAATTTTTAAAAAAACTACATAGTTAAACTTGATAAAAAAAATACTAAAAATATAATTGCGGTTACTTTTAAAAATATTTTTTATTAATAATATATTAAAATAATATTTTTTATTTTTAAAACATTATTTTTTACACCACTATTATTAAAATATATAAAATATTTTAAAATATTATTTTAAAATAAAAAATATTTTTAAAATTTAAAAACAAACAGACGCTTAGTTTCGCGGGATATTCACTAACGGTGTGATTTTAAAAGTATTTACGAACACAAATCCAAAGTACAAAGTCCACAAGTATGTAATGAGCATTAACCACCCTTAAAATCACCACTAACGGTGTCACTGATTGTCCTGTCGAGACTAGTGACTTGACAGAAGAAGGCAAACACTGTGGCCATCTGGGTATCATCGCCAGCCCTAACGGCATGCCGACGGAATCTAAACAGAAAAATTAACAGTCATTGTTTTTCGCGGTCTCACGCTCTGCAAGTCAAGTTATTGTAACCACGCAAGTGCTTTTTCGGTTTCAGTTTGCTCACGTGTTTCGGTCCTTTCCTTGACGTTTTACACGCCGGGTCCTACGCCATTTTTATACAAAAGTTCACTCTTGCCCTTAATAATTTCATCCATTTTCCATTTCTATCCTTGTAATTTATAATTTCACCAGTTTGCCTCTATAGTTTTCAAAAAGTTTAAATTTAGCGTTTTTTCTACAAGAAACTCGCAGAAGTTTTAATTTTTTATTATTTTCTTTTCTAATTTTTCCTCTCAAATCCCATGAATATTAAATCATATAATACAAAAAACTTTAAAAACCAAAATAAAAATATGAATATGGAAGATGAATATAATACAAAAAACTTTAAAAACCAAATTAAAAATATGGATGATAATTCCACTCTATGAGTATATTATACTATATGTAAAAGAATTGGGGTTGTTCCCCCAAGTGCTTTACTCCGTGTTTTATGAGTATATTATACTATATGTAAAAGAACTGGGGTTGTTCCCCCAAGTGCTTTACTCCCACGTGTTTCGTGTTTACACACCTTATCTTTGTTTTATATTTTCAAGACTTCTTTATTGCAATTGAGTCCTTCAATGGAATTAGGCTTGAGACGTGAAAAAAAATATTAAATTAAAAGATAGAGGATTAAAATGTAAAAATAAAAAAACGATATGCCTAATTCTACAATCTTGATAATTTTTATTTTAGTTTAAAATTTTATTTTCTAGGTTTTGTGTGAGCACGAGTATAAAAAGGAATAAAATGATAAAAAAAACAGGAAAAAAATGAAAATGAAAATGAACTATGCAAACTTCTTTATTGCAATTGAGTCCTTCAATAGAATTAGGCTTGATACTATGGAAAAAAAATATTAAATTAAAAGATAGAGAATTGAAATGTAAAAACAGAAAAATAATATGCCTAATCCTACAACCTTGATAATTTTTATTTTAATTTAAAATTTCATTTTCTAGATTTTGTGTGAGCACGAGTATAAAGAGGAATAAAATGATAAAAAAAAATAGGAAAAAAATGAAAATAAAAATGAACTATACGAGAAAACCTAATACATATAAATAAAAATTTATTAACATAAAGGAAAAAACGAGTGCATGAAGTTATATCGCAATTCAAAAAGGCAAACAAAAAACAACAAATAAAAGATTAACCTAATACATATAAATAAAAATTTATTGACATAAAAAAAAAAACGAGTTCATGAAGCTATATCGCAATTCAAAAAGACAAATAGAAAATAACAAATAAAAGACTATATTACTACATTAAATATTTTTAATCTCAATTTTTATTTGTTTACATATGTATGTATTTTTATTTTTCAAGTATTGATCTATACAGAATTTACAAAATATATTTTATAAGCAGAAATTTCATAAATAAAATAAGAATACTAGGGAAAGCATATCATTAACCTATTATTATTAGTTTAATATATAAACAATTGACGTGGTCTCTTAATTAAAAAAACATGTAAAAAGATATAAATTTGAAATAAAAATAGTTCTTTTACACATGAAATCTATAAGCAATTGATAAAAAATATATATCTCATAACAGGCAAAAATGAGCGCGCACACACGAGGTAGCCACAACATCGGGACTCGGAAAAAGGATAAGGCGGTTAACCTATCCGTGACATTAGAGCTTTTGGAGAAATCATGAGGGCATTATTGAGAAACTTGAAGTGTAGGGGTAGAGGAGTGAGAACTCACGAATCTATAAGGGCAAAAGGTTGAAGTTCAGTCATCTTTTAATTGGTCGCTTTGGTCCCCTCCACCCTGTGCGTGTGCATGTTTCGTATACCCGACCAACACACACGTATATTTTTTCTGCTACTTCTTAAACCTTGCAAGCTGCCAACGATATATATCCATTTATAGCAAAAGAAAATAAATTTAACAACAAAAGCACAAAAGACAGAGGTGATTATAATAATAATAATTAAAAATTAAATTAAGGCTGGAATGTTTACCGGGAAAAGAAGTTATCAGTTAAAAGAGCCCTACCTGTGTACGTGTCTATAAAAAGCTCTGGTTTTGATGCTAGGTTTCTTTTTCACCTATTCTTTCTGTCTGTCGCCTGCTTACTAACTTATTATTTTCTTGGCATACAAGTGACCAGAACAGATCTCCGGCATTGACTCAGTCCACAGGTATCTTTGACTACTAATGGGATTCCTTTTTTTTAGAAATATATTTTTCTTTTCCTGATATATTAGTCTATAGCAACAGGAGAGTAAAGTGGCATTATCTGTGGAGAAATGGTTTTTGTTGTATTTTTTATTTATTTTTCTGATCTTGAATGCTATTGATTTCTTTAAATTCTTTCCGGGAATATCCATTCGGGTATATATAAGATAAGATACATTTTTTAGACTGAAAGTGTCCCACTTTATTGTTCACAATTTTTGGTGAAGCAGCAGAGCCGCTCCCAGCCCCAGGTCTGTTAGAGATCTGCTGTTTCTAAGAAGTGAATTGGAATGTTTTAAGGAATTGGGAAACTGGGTAGCATTGCTACTCGTGTTTTAAGTTTAATCTGTTGAAATTTGTTGCTGTTTGTCTTATGTTGTTTGTCTTCATTTTTTCCCCTGTCTAACCAGCTCCAAAAAATGGGGGCAAAAGGAGAACGATATTATCCACAATTCACCTTGAAGGGAGTTCCGACCGAAGCCTGCTGAGCAAATTGAAGACAATCTTGCCCCAAAAGGAAATGAGCACTGGAAGGGATTGAAGTTTCTGAAAATCAGCAATGGATGTCGGCAAGCAGAACCAAAAGGAGTCATGGATTCCACAGAGTCATGTTAGACATATCCAACCTCGTGTGATCTACACAGACAGGCAGGGAAACGAGCTAGCCCAAGCAGGTAGTTCAGAAATAAAGGGGTTATCTGGATTGGGTGAGTGTTGTCCTCCCTCCAGTTTCAAATGGAAGGCGGCTGCTAGAGGTGCAGAAAAGGGCAGCGCCTGTAATGACTATGTCGAAACATCCAGAGAGTGCTCCACTGGTAATACAGCTACATGGAACCTTATGTCTTTGGACGACCCTCTGTTGGCTCTTGCAGATGCAGCTTCCAGGGAACATTTAAATCCATGGATTATTGGCAACTACACCCAGGAACCCAAGTGTAAGCATAACCGAGTTGACTTTAGAAAAAACTCATTATGTATACTTGGCTTTTATTTCACCAAGGCAGTTCCCTCATGTGCATTCATTTAGCTGCCAAGTACCTGCAGGGTGTAGCAATAGAGATAGAGAAAATGATTATAACAACAAATGGAATTCATTCAGACATCAATGATATTATCAATCAATAGTAAAACGCACAATGGACAGAGACTCTGCGTGTCATTTTGTCCAGAAAAAGGAGAGAGAAAAAAGTCCTTTTGGATGTAGGAACCAGTTTCCAGTATCATTCCCAAGAGAAGCTTTAGTAATTTTAGTTTCTTCATCGATCTGGAAATAATTTGTCTCCATGAAATTTCTATTTTTTTACTGAAACTGCTGATGGTAATAATTTCTTCCAGGGGGGGAGGCAAACGCATTCCCTGCCGAGACCACCTCCCAGTTTGCTCCTGTAACACCAGACAAAGGCATGAAAGTGGAGTCCAAAAGGATCATAGAAATGCAGAATTTATGCACACATTCAGGAAATCAAGAATTTAGTGATGATGGAATTGCTTCCAGGGGAGCTGATGCCAGTGGCCTCCAAACTGATGAAGAACTCTTACAGCGAGCAACAAATTCATTGTTTGCTGTAGGGTCCCCTTTGTTAAAGGAGAATCACAACCCTGACAGGAGAGACGGCGATGTTATTGACCTGAACAGAACACCACAGCAGAAACTAAGGAGGAAAAAGCACAGGCCCAAGGTCATCAACGAAGGCAAACCCAAAGGGCTACAAAAATCAACGACCCCCAAGTCTGCTGGTTCTACTGAAAAGCCAACTGGTAAGAGAAAGTATGTTCGAAAGAAGGCGCTCAGTAAAGCACCAGCAAGTTCCCCAGCAGAAGCAAATGGACAGTCTGCTGATCCAAAGATAATTGAACCGGCCAAGAAGTCTTGCAGAAGGGCCTTAAATTTTGATATAGAAAGGCAGCCTAGAGACAAAAGCTCTAAATGCAGTCCACCTTTTGACTTGGATTCTAAACCAGAGGCACAAACAAACGCAGCAATAAATCAATCAAAATCAACAGTGTTTCTTGGTCGTGGAATTGAAGTGATGGTGGAAACCACACAAGCAGGCATTGCCTATGACCTTACCCGTTCTATAAGTCAAATGCTTAAAAATTACGTATCATTGCCGGACAAAGAAGCACCACGCACATTGTTTCCTGCCCAGACTAGTCAACAACAGGGCAAACAGGATGGAAATTTACAAGAGAAAGGGGTAGATCAAGGGAATGCTCATAATGTACAGGAAGACACAGCACAAATCATTCCAATAAGTCCTAATGGCTCCAATTGCAGCAACAGCACAACTTCGACTTTGGAAGGACAGGCTAGCAGATCAAAGAGGAAGCATTCTGAACAACCAGACACCTGCAGCACAAATCTAACTGGGATTCACTATAATTCTTTGAATGCTTACCAAACCATGCCTTCGCTTCTATTTCGAAAGAAAAAGAGGTCAGAAAAGGGACAAACTCCAGCCACATCAAGCACTTCATCCTCAGTGACAGCTGCAAAGGACATTGCGATAGTAGAAACAGCATGCCCACAGAAGGATCCTGAAAGAGATCCTTTCACACCCAATATTAACTGTTGGATTTCTGCTGGTCCTCGTAATGGACTCCCAGGCAAGCATGTAGAAGAAAGAATAGATCTTCTCAATGACCTGCAAACTTTTGGCTATAGCATAAACCAGACAACAAGATCAACCAAAAAAAGGTCCAGATATCCTGCTAAAATTCGGGATATGGCTTCAGTGACCAGAATTCCAGGGTGTGCATTGCACCCAACTAACCGAAACAGACTTGTTACTGTGGATTGTAATGGGCAGCAAGTAGGAAACTCACACAGACCTCACGTGAGTGTAGAAGCCCTGCTGGCAGAGATGAATGGGACATGGACAACCAAAAAGAGGACCAAGAAGAGAGCTTCTCTGGTTAATTCAGGTTCCTACAGTATAAATGCAGTGCCATATCATGGAAAAATCGTTGTATATAATCAGCACAAATTCTCAGCCAAGGCATTAGGTACTTTATGTAAAAACTTCTAATTTAGACCAAGCTCGTATAAGAATTTTTGAAATCTGAACCTAGCATATCCGCAAAGTGCCTTTTTAACTTTTACAGCTATTTAATGCAGGTGCTCATCCAGAAGAAATGTGGAAACAAATGTTTTCTGTTGATTCAATAGTCGAACAATTAAAGCATCTCGACATCAAGAGGGAAAGCAATGACATTGCATTTGAAGAGCAGAATGCACTTGTCCATTATAATAGTGGAGATGATATGCGGAATGCACTGGTCCTTTACAAAAGAGATGGCACCGTTGTACCCTATGATGGTTCTTTTGGATCCATCAGGAAGCGACGCCCACGCCCAAAGGTTGACCTAGATCAAGAAACTAATAGAGTTTGGAAGCTTCTAATGGGAAACATTAATAGTGAAGGCATTGACGGAACAGATGATGAGAAGGCAAAATGGTGGGAAGAAGAAAGGGCAGTGTTCTGTGGACGGGCAAACTCATTTATAGCACGGATGCATCTTGTACAAGGTACAGATACAATTTTCGTAAATTTTCTCATCAGGCTTCTCAGTGGAAAGTAGCCAATCACTGATTCAGTAACTTAATAAAATAGAAAGTACCTAGTTCCTGCTGTCAACTAATGCTTAACAATAGTACAAGACCAAGCATAGAGCTGTTAGGATTTCTTGTACTATAAAAGCCTCACTGCCAAGGTTGATAATTCTATCCTCAAATGAGATTTTTCTACCATCAAATTGAAACCAGTCCATCTAGCATAAACTGAGTCGTCTAGAAAATCAGAAGAATATTGAAGGTCAAAATTTAATGAGGATGAGAAAAGAGCCAAGGTCATAAGCGTGGAGCATTTTATATATCTTGATAAATGAAATATAAGATGTGCAATGAGCAATTTCACGACCAGCATGATCTAGTGACACTAGTCCGCAGCAAAAAATAAGATAAGACAATCCACTATCAAGACGGAGATATTATTGAAATTAAGAAAGTGTAGAAACAGGTAGCAGATAAAACATCTGCATATTTGAAATTCCAAACAAATTAACCTTGAAACCTCATAAGCAATTCAGTTGAGAAATTCCAGTTACATTTTTTATCCTGAACTTTTCCTCCAAATTTTGGACTCAAATTACTCTTGAACTCATGCTTTATCAGTACAATATCAATTACACAGGGGACAGACGCTTCTCTCCGTGGAAGGGATCGGTTGTGGACTCGGTGATTGGAGTATTTCTTACCCAGAATGTCTCAGATCATCTCTCTAGGTAAAGTTGAGTTTCCCATATAATTTTGATACAGTGCATAATCAGAGAAAAGGCAAAAGGAAACCTCTTATACCATTTATTCATTGTCCTGCAGTTCCGCATTTATGTCACTTGCCGCACGGTTTCCCCTCAAGTCAAAGAACAAGCCATGCTATGATGAGAGGACTAGCTTAGTGATTGAAAAACCAATAGAATTCATACCAGATTCAGAAGAGGGCATAAGATGGAATGAGGTGTCAAATCAATCAATCTGTGGCCAGAGTTCGTTGACTGTCCGTGACATTGAGCCTGATGAAGAGCAAGAGGTAGTCAAAAGCAGTGAAAACTCTGAAAGTAGTACCAGCATCGTCACCTCTGAAACTGAACCACATGCATTCAGTCAATTGATGGTGAGCAGATCAACCGTTGAGAGCTCCATGACCAGAAGGGTAAGTTACATGGTAGAAGAAGGGACACAAATAACTGATGGAATCTCAAGTCAAAATTCAGTGATTTCTGGTCAAAACTCTGTGAATTCTCCAATTGGCCAAGCTTATGAGAAAAAAGAATCATGCTCGGAGAACATCTCAGAAGGAGAATATCTCACTGGTGGATCAAAGCTGTACAATTATAACGATTGCAGATCTTTCATGGAGCTTCTGCGAAAGGTTGGATCTCCCTTGATGCAAGATGCTTACAGCCAAGGCAATGGCAAGATGGACTGTTTGAAAGATCATAAAAGCCCCATCGGAGTGTCCATGGTCACATCCAGTAATTGTTATTGGCACCTTACATCTAACTCTGGAGCTGTGAAGGTTGACTGCTTTGATATGATCCCTAAAGAAACACAATATGGTGATAAAGCCTTAAACAAAAAAGAAGACAGTGCAAAAGATCGCAATGCCCTTGCAGTGGAAACGGCCAGTCAAATTACTGATCAAAATAAGCTGACCTTGATCAATCAAGAAGAATCAAGATCTCCCATGTCAAATAATCAGTCATGCATTGACATTCAAAAAGACAAGCATACGAGTGTCGAGTCCACAGCCATGCCTGTTGAAGACCCCAAAGTCACTGACAATTCATTGATTCAGATGCAAAATAACTACCTGCAGAAAAATCAATACTTACAAAACCTTTCAGGAGAAACCACGCATATAACTGGAAGTACCAGTGCATTTGATAGGCAGCAAAATAATCCACAAAAAACAGCAGCGTCTGAAATGATTGAGCTAGGTTTTTCACAAAGTAAGGAGCTCAATGAGATGAAAGCCGCCACCAGAAAAGCAAAAAGCAGAAGAGTTGGAAATGAAATAAGAGATGACGTTAACTGGGATGCCTTGAGAAAAGAGGCAGAAGCTAATGGAAAGAGAGAGGGAACAGAAAACACAAAGGACTCACTGGACTGGGAAGCTGTAAGATGTGCAGATGTTAATGAGATTGCCAACACAATCAAAGAGCGTGGGATGAACAACATACTTGCAGAACGGATAAAGGTATACATGTCACAATCAATAACAAAGATTTCTAAAGCATGGTTACCTACCAAAGCTAGAGCCTATCTTAGTTGATACTGACTGAAAAATCCATGCAGAACTTGCTTAATCGACTGGTGAAAGAACATGGTAGCATTGATCTGGAATGGTTGAGAGATATTCCACCTGACAAAGCAAAGTAAGCCGAAAGGATTAACCATATAGCCTGCATCAGTTGAACGCATTAAAATACTACTAGTGCAGTTATCATATAAACATGGCATTACTCCGTTGCTAAGCATATGATATAGTGATTGTCTTTTTTTTTTATTAGAAATATTAAATGCAGTTGCTTGGTTTATAAAACAAGACAAAAAAATATATACTTAATTGCAGCTTACTACTGCAGAGAGTATCTGCTAAGCATTAGAGGATTGGGGCTGAAGAGTGTGGAGTGTATACGGCTTCTGACACTTCATCATCTAGCATTCCCAGTAAGCTTTAATCAGTTGGACATACTTAATAAACAAAACAACATACGGATCTCAACTTTTGGCTATTAGAGATCTCAGCCCTATATATTGCATAACAGGTTGACACAAATGTTGGACGCATAGCTGTACGACTGGGATGGGTCCCCCTTCAGCCACTTCCTGAATCACTTCAGCTGCATCTTCTAGAGCTGTTAGTATTATTAACTGAAAGTCTACTGATGCTAACTAAATGCTCATGACACAAGTACTAATGTGCTGATGTGCAGGTACCCTGTGCTGGAATCAATTCAAAAATACCTCTGGCCTCGATTGTGCAAACTTGATCAAAGAACACTGTAGAGAAATATTTCATTTGACATTAACTCAACTCGTGAATATACTTAATGTACAAATAGAATTAATTATGAATACATTTAACTAATCCATTGTTAATGCATAAACAGGTATGAGCTTCATTATCAGATGATCACATTTGGAAAGGTGTGTTTCATATACTGTAAACTTGAAGTGATATGCTCTTCTTTGTGGTTAATTAAAAGCTCAAGCTAAGGAAGCACTATTTGAGATCATGCAGGTATTCTGTACAAAAAGCAAACCAAATTGCAATGCATGTCCAATGAGAGGAGAATGCAGACATTTTGCAAGTGCATTTGCAAGGTTTGCATATAATTTGTTCCATTTCTTACAATGGCACTGCCTTGTGGTTAGCATGGTAGCAAACAAATGCAGGAATTAGTTCCATAAACCTAACACCATCTAGAACCCTCTTTAGTTTTCATAAAAACTGGAGGTTGATTTTTTTTTAATTGGATCAACTAACGGAGCTTCAAATGGTTATGGATTGTTCAGTTCTTAAGTAAAAATGATAATTTTAAGAAAAAAAAACCATCTATAACTTCATAGTTTGATTATACCATGGACAACCATTTCCATGAAGAAAATATTGCAGTTAAATTAGCATCTACAAATCCCAATTAAGAAACATACCCTGAACAACATTTTCCTTAACATGCATGAAAAGCTAGATTTGTTATTTGTTAACTTATCATAAACTTATTGGATGTAGTGCAAGGCTTGCCCTTCCGGGACCAGAAGAAAAAAGTATAGTGAGTGCAACCGAGAATATATCTGGCCAAAACCCTGCTGTGGATGCTGCTCAATTGCCCCTGCCCCTGACCCTGCCCCAAACAGCTAAACAATCCGAAGGAAGTCAACAGCCAGAAGCAAGCAGGCTCGCAGAAAGCAAATCCAGAATCACTGACTACGAACCTATCATTGAAGAACCATCATCACCAGAACCAGTGTCTACACAAGTAACAGAAAATGATATGGAGGATACATTCTGCGAGGATCCTGATGAAATCCCCATCATCAAACTTAACATTGAAGAATTCACTCAGAATTTACAGAACTATATGCAAGAGAATATGGAACTTCAAGAAGCTGATATGTCTAAGGCCTTAGTTGCTTTAACTGCAGAAGCTGCCTCCATTCCCGTTCCCAAGCTTAAGAATGTTAGTCGGTTACGAACCGAGCACCAGGTGTAAGTATCAACCTCCTCACTAAAACTGTTCTCTTATTGAAACAATAGTAGGCAAAATTTAGCTTATGAAGTAAATGTCACCAGCCCCATACAAAACTTGTAACTTCTTCTAAGGGAATCAAAATTGGAACATGATAAAATCTCACCATTCAGCATTGAAGCCAAATGCTTTTCAACACATTTCATGTTGGCCATGATAAAAATAGGCAAAAATCTTTTGCCAGAACTAAAAGGTAAAATCTTCTCGTACATTCTAATTTTCTCTCTTTCACCATCATGCAGATACGAACTTCCAGATTCTCACCCTCTTCTGCAAAGGGTTAGTTAATTCTGCTTCTACTTCATCAGCAATGTTACATGAAATGTGCCCACATAGCCAAACTTCTTTCCTAATCATGTGTTTTGCTTTTGAATCAGTTGGATAGGCGAGAACCTGATGATCCATGTTCATACCTTCTTGCCATATGGACACCAGGTAGGTGAATAACAAAGAGAAACAGCTATGACACAATTCTTTCTGCATAGTGGCAAATTAGCTGAGTTGCTGATGAACTATTCAGGTACTCTATGCCCAATATTAGCTGGGGTAAAATCAGAAATCAAGCAAGCCATGTCAAAACCCTGTGAGATGCTTTTAGGAAAAGGATCTGAGTCCAAGCTTTGCAGGGCTAAAAGCTCAGAAGCATGGGTTGCTTCTTAATACCAAGTTATGATTAAAATACTCACATATAGGCTTGGATCCTCGAATCCTTGGATGTGGGATTCATTAGTTAAGAACGAAAACAATGGTCAACAGAAAGAACAGAAAATCTACAAACAAGAAATCCATTCAGTCAATAATGTTGTCCCTCAAAAATCATAGTCAAGTCCAGCATCAAAAAGGAATGACTTATTTAAATCAGTCTAATGACCATCTCACTTTTAAGAGAAATGTGGAATTTGTAAATTCCTGCTTCAAAAAAGAACTAAAAGATGAGGGATTCCGGAGCTGCACCCAGTGTGTCCCAATCTGTGTCTTAGACTTTCCATCTGACGCAAGCAGGCCTGTTTGGATGACTATTAATCATTCTTCCTCCCCTCTTCTTTTACAAATTTTCATAAAGACCAAAGTTAACAGGTTAGGGTGCATGCGCTTTGCTGCTGGCCATGTGGCAGGCTCAAGCTTGACTCGCTTGTCACTGAATAGACTACTAGTATTCAGGGCTTGTGTCAAGATCAAGAAAAGCTCTTTCAATTGTGGGAGTAGAATAACCTGAACAGTCCAACAACTCAACTCAGCTCAATTGAACACCCTATGCATTTCCCATTATAGCATGAGCAATCACAAATCACAGGTTTGCAAAATATATGTGATGTTCATTAACAAGTTAATACAGGCAAAGTTCAGATATGTGTAGGCTATAGTTCTGTAGGTATCTGATCAATTGTGCAAAATCACCCACATTAGGCGAAACAGCAAACTCCATTCAACCACTGGAAAGAAGTTGCAGCTTACATGAATGTGGTGAATTGTGTGATGAGAAAACATGTTTCTCATGCAACAACATACGGGAAGAAAATTCTCAAATTGTTCGAGGGACTCTCTTGGTGAGAATAAGCATGCCACTATTGCTAATATAATTGTATTCTTGAAAAAACTTCTTAGTGAAGGTTGGAATCCGTATAAATTAAATATTAACCAATTGTTCTAACATGTCAAAAACAGATACCATGTCGAACAGCGATGAGGGGAAGCTTTCCCCTCAATGGCACATATTTTCAAGTTAACGAGGTAATAAGCTAGGAGGACACCTTCAGGTGATATAAAGCAGCTTTTGAGTTTTGCAGTTTAGATGATGCTAATGACATGTTCTCTATGTAGGTATTTGCTGACCATGATTCTAGTCTGAATCCAATTGATGTTCCTAGAGCATGGATATGGAACCTGCCCAGACGAACTGTGTACTTTGGAACCTCCATACCAACAATATTCAAAGGTATATATATAGTAATGCTGTTATGACAAATGATATGAAATCAATAAATGGCACTCACACTAAGTTTGGTCTATCAGGTTTGACAACAGAAGGTATTCAGCATTGTTTCTGGAGAGGTAAGTGATAGTGTAGATTCTTCCTTTCTCTATAGCTACCTACTGGCTGCTTTAGTTTCAAAACTAGCCATTAGTTCTGCAATTGTTGCCTTAGTTACCCTTGCGTTATTTCATCCCAATGCTTCTTCTCTTTAAACATTAGATTAATGCACAAAATCCTGATATGATATAGAATGCTAACATTCTGAATTCCTCAAGGCAGCCTTGTGCTGAACGCTAACCAGCAATAGGTTTTGAGAATATCTCCTCCAAAAACCGATAATTTCTCATGTTGCTTTTTTAGTTAGTAAATGAAACGGTTAGATTAAGACTTTGTGATATTTTGATTTCCGCCGTGCTTGAGATCTGACAATTTAAAAATGCTTGAGGTGGCCCATGGACTTCATCTGTAGATGCAATATCAAGTTTTAGGGATTCTCAGTCATGTTGAACTCTGTAATTCAAAAAAGGCTATTAGTTCCCAGAGATGATCATGTAAGATGAATGCACACGGAAAATCAAGAGACAATTGTACTAACAATAGAATGAAGAATTTGCATGCAGCTCTGATGAACAGCATCTAACAATGGTACCCTTAACCCTTACATGCAGACATGCAGACATGCAAATAAGCCTTATCTGTCTTTCTGCAGGAAGTACACGTTATGATAGATTTCCCTTAAGACCAGACAATATACAAATGTTCCAAATATTCATTTTTGATTTATTGCAATTCCCCTTTTCTGGGGAACTCGGTTTAAGATTTGCTCATTCTCTATTGGTTATATATATATGAGAATTGCAGGATATGTCTGCGTTAGGGGATTTGACCAGAAGACACGAGCACCCCGACCACTGATGGCCAGATTGCATTTTCCAGCTAGCAAATTAACCCAGACAAAAAAGGGTGATATTAGTGGTCGGTAGATAACACTGTTAATTATCTGCACCACAAGCAGAGTGTGACAGGTGACCATGTTTGAGCAACAATAACCAGCGGCAACCAATTCACTCGATTCATGAAACGAGGTGAAAATTTTCAGCTTATGTTGTATGATACCATAACGTAATGTGCATTTGTTATTGAAATGGCAATTTCTTAGTGATATGCTTGCATTCAAGCATTCTTCACTGGGTATCACCGACGTGTGTAAAATAATGTTAACGTAACGTGGTAGCTATGCTAGCCTTTACAAGGACAAGCTTGTGAGGAAGCCGGCAAAGTTGATATAACCAGAACTAGAACGGCAGATTTAGAAATACTACAAGTCCTGAAACATCTTCAAAGCATTTCCACAGGGATAAATAGCAAGATTTGGGCATGGCTTACTGATCATGTTTTGCACAGAGCTGTCCAGACATCCATCGCAAAAGGCATGTTCCAATTTGGGATGGATTATAGCTGAGCCTTGCACATTACTGATCATGTTTTGCACAGAGCCGTCCAGACATCCATCGCATTCCGATTTGGGATAGATTATAGCTAAGAATGCCTTGCACGTTAAACTGATATTTTGTTAACAAAAATCTATCATTTGCGTAACAAAAATTTATATATAAAACAAAAAAATCTACAACACCCACCAGAGATAAGAAATGTGAAGATGATGGAGAAAAACAAGATCAGATCCCAGGTATTGCTTCAAGGATCGCACTAGTTGTCACGATTAGGATTCGAGAAACAAGAGAGCAGAGGATGATAGTGCAACCTTGGCCGCCTTACCGCCCTGGCCTTTTCAACTTCTGCTTCCCTCCTGAACCTATCTTTCCTTTTTAAAAATGTTTGTTTGCATTGAGAATAAGATGAAGAGTTTTTTTTTAAATAATTTTAATATATATATTAAAATAAAATTTTTTATTTTTCATATTAGTATATTAAAATCATCAAAAGCATTGAAAACAATTAATTTGACATTACAATGTTGAGTATTTTTTAAATAATCTTTTATTTAAAAATATATTAAAATATTTTTTTATTTTTAATGTTGGTATATTAAAATCATCGAAAACATTAAAAACACAATTTAAGATTAGGATGATATTTTTTTATATAGATTTTTTATTTAAAATAATTTTTTTAACAATACATTAAAATTATTAAATGCATTAAAAATGATTCATTTAATGTTTCAAATATATTTTTTTAAACACCTAGAAGCAAGACCGAAAATTGTGTCGTACACCTTCCTTTTACATGAATTACTAACCATTTGGGAACGTGATTGACGCCACGTTCCTTAAATTTTAATTTTTTTAATAAATTTTTTTATAATTTTAAATAGTTTTGATATGATAATTTTAAAAATATTTTTTAAAAAACTAAAAATATTATTTTGATATGCATTCTTAACTGATGAAGTGCGTTATCATTTGCATTTTGTCCTGATCATATATTTTTTATTAGTAAACTTGCATAATAATTTTACTTAAATTCATTGAAAATTCTTTTTTAAAATCTTAATTAAGTAAAAAACTATAACTTATAATTTATCTTAAATTAATTTTTCAAAATATAAACATAAAAGCTAACAAACTATAACTTATAATTTATCTTAAATTACTTTTTCAAAATATAAACATAAAAGCTATCATGTTATATAATATATTTATTATATAAATAGCTTGCGCTAAACCATGATTCCAGTTAAAAAAATTTAATATAAAAAAGGATGTTTGAGCGATAATAGTGTTTTTAAATAAACAAAAAAAAAATTAGGTCATTGAATCAAATGTGTTTAATAAGTTTATTAATTTAATAATATGATTATATATAAAAAAAGCCGGTGACAATAAAAAAACAAAAATAAATAAACAATGACTCATCAAAAAAATAAACTTTTATCAATATTATGAAAATATATCCTATAAATATTATTAAAATGCCTCAACAATGCTATTTGATAACATAGCAAAAATTAAATGAAAACAGGTTAATCTCATGAAGAGAATTAAAAAAAAAAAGCTAGATTACTGGTAAAAAATATAGAAATCAAATTGAATAAAAAAATAAATAAAATAAAATATCAATAGATAAAATTAAAGAACAAAATTAACTTTAAAAGGTATTAAAACCAAACATAATTAGCAATAAAATAAACTCAAAATCAATGCAAGTACAAACTAATAGGACACATTTGATTTTTTTGAATGGCTAACATGAAATCCAAAGCGAGGAAAGAGAAAAGGAGAAGAAACAAAAAAAAATTCAGTGGAGTCCACTCGTAGTTCCTCCATGCGCACATGTCTGATCACCAGAAAAAGGATGACATGATACTTTAAGTTTTCTGGGAAATACGGTCTAACCTGTGTTTTCAAATAAATTTAATTTTTTTTGCTTAAAATTAAATTTTTTCTAGTATTTTTTTGCTTAAAATTAAATTTTTTCTAGTGTTTTTTTATCGTTTTAATACGTTGATATTAAAAATTATTTTAAAAATAAAAATATATTATATTGATATATTTTTAAGTAAAAAGCATTTTAAACCACAAATGCTGCTACAATCTAAATACACTCTTTCAATATTGTTATTAAAGACAATGTTTTATTATTAAAACACATTGTACATGACGCCTAAAAAATGCGAACACCTCCCACTTGTTATTGTTATATTTTAATTATAGTTTTAGCTGTTAAAAAACTAAATTATCCCTTCTCTAAATTGATTATAAAAAAATAACATTAGCAAAAATATAAAAACGCCCCTTAATTTATGTTTAGTTTTTTATTTTATTTTTAAAAAAAATTAAACATTACATTGTGCAATCAAAGTGTTAAAAACCCAAAATTTCCTGAATCTTAGTTTTTTTTTTATCTTTTCTTCGGGGGTATCTAAGCTATTGCATTTTACATAAAATCGGGGGTATCTAAGCTATTGCATTTTACGTAAAAACATGAAAGATAAATATATCACTGATTAATATAATAATAACAAATAAACTACATAAAAAACCTCATTTTACCCATAACTAGTTTATTGTTTTTTATTATAACGGGTAAAATGATTATTTAATTGTTATAATTATCTCACAATTCACGTAGCACATTTATAGTTTTGTTTTAATATCTATTTTTTTTAAATTACATTTTATATGTTTAGAAGATATTTGGAAACGTGAATCAATTTATATTTAAAAAAATATAAATTTTTTTGTTAAAAAATATTTTTTAAATTATTTTAATATATTGATCTTAAAAATAATTTTTTAAACATAAAAAATATTATTTAAATATATTTCAACATAAAAAAAACATCTTAAAAAAATAATTGATAAAATAATTGATGAAGTATTTCGGTAGCCTGGTCCAGAGCCCATTTATTAATATGTACATGGCTATGAACTTTGATTAGTAATATCAGTTATGGTTGCATTAGTTGTGGTTGTTGTAAAGTGCATGTATTATTTACTATTGAAATAATTTGATGCTATTATGATATTTAAAATTCAATATTTTCATTTTTCGAAGTTTCATTTTTTATGGCTTTCAAGGCATCTCCGACGGAGAGCGAAATGGAAAACCATAAGCAATAGCTACTAAAATGGCTGGTCTTCAATTGTTTTTTTGGGTCTCCGACGGGATAGCCAAATTGGACGCTAAAATCCCTTTTTGTGTATGTTTTCTTTCGATGAAAAATATACAATTGAAGGAAATTTTTATCTGTTTTTCCTCTTTAAACTTTCACTCTCTCTTTTTATTTTATGTAGAATACAAAATAACTTGTTACAATACTAGAGTACCACACGAGGGAAAAAATAAATAAATTACACTATTTAATATGTTATATTGATAATTTACTTGTTTTAAATATTATTATTAAACCTGACTTAGCTTAGCAGGTTAGGTTGATCTGGGACCGGTCGACTTGGTGACTGAACTAATCCGGGTTATTAAACCTGACTTAGCTTAGCAGGTTGATCTGGGACCCGATCGACTTGGTGACTGAACTAATCCGAGTTTAATAAAAAACCAGTCGGAAAAATAGCTTAGCCAAACCTCGGCAACCTGATGGGTCGACCCATGACCCAAGCAACCTTGGTGAACATAGATGAGACCTAGTTTTTTTTTTTAATATGAGATTTGAAACCTATTAGTATATATACAATATATTCACAAAAAAAAATATGTATTTTTAATGTAGGATAAAAAAGCTTCTAGTTTAAATACTTCAACTTAAAAGAATAACAAAATATCTTTTTAATATGAGATTTCAAGTCCTTTCATATATATACTCGATGTTCCTATAAAAAAATTATATTTTTTTAATATAGGATTTAAAACCCGTTAGTTTATATATTCTATGTTTCCAATAAAAAAATCATATTTTTTCAATGTGAGATAAAAAAATAGTTTAAATACTTTAACTTATAAAATGATAACATAATATCTTTTTAATATGAGATTTGAAATCTATTAGTATATATATTCTTTATTCACAATAAAAAAGTTATGTTTTTTTAACATGAATTTTTTTTTTTGATTTAGATATTTTAACTTAAAAGCTCAACACAATATCTTTTTAACGTGGAATAAAAAAATTTAAAATATTATTCTAAACTTTATTATTTTCAGTATGTATAATCTATATTTACATGAATTTTTTCATATGAAATATTTAAAATTCATTTTTAAAAAAAAATTAGATTGATACAAATTAACATAGATTAACCTGTAAAACTCTAGACCCGATTTTTTAACTGGTTAACTCCCAATCTAAATTTAATAACTATGATTTTCAATAGTTATAGATGACCTTGAAGCTCTATTAAACACCTTTTTTTTTTGTTCTTTAGGAAAAGTCCTAGGTCAACAAAAAAAAAAAGCGAACATTTTATATGGTTCGTTTGTTTTAAATTATTTATATATTTTTTTAAAAAATTGATTTTTGACCTTGCAATTTAAAAACATGATCAACGAAATCTACTTTTTGATTAACTGTGTGTTTTGTATATATGTTTTTTAAAATATTTTAAATTGAAAATATATTATTTTTCTATTTTTAATATTAATATATTAACTATAAAAAATAAAAATAAAAATAAATTGATATATTTTAAAAAATAATTTAAAATTTTCTTTGAAAAATAGATTCAACTACAGTGCCAAATATTTTTTTTTTGAAAAAAACTAAGGTTCTGAAGAAAAAGTTTTTAAAATTAAAAAAATTCACTTTCCCTGACAACTCGACAACTAAAATTATGCACCATTCATTATTTTTACATAGACACACATTAATATAACATCTCATTGCAAGAGGAAAGTCTACATAGCACAAGAAGGAAGACGAACTACATGTTGACAGTTACGAAAATCACTGTAGTAAAGATGTCCAAGTGAAAAAATTAAAAATATATATATTAAACACGAAAATATAAAAGGATCTTATATATTGATGATAAACATTTATAGAATTTGAAAAAGAAAGTCAAAACAACAAAAGATTTGGCGCTCTTCCTTGAATCTTCCTATTTATTCTTAATGTATTGAATTTACACTCAATATTTTTTTCATTGTACAAAACCCGTGAATTATTCTGAATTTAATGTCAGGATTTTAAATAATTTATTTTCCAACAAGGATACAAACTAATAGCAGTTTCGTAGTTGCCTGGAGTATTTATTAAATTGTCGACACTTGCAATTTTAAATGTTCTTGATTGATTTATTTTTGTGGTTTTTCGTTGGTTTATAAAATTCATTTAATTTTTATTTGCAAGTTGGAAGTGTCACCGATATTTTATTTTATTTTTTATAGATGTTTCTATGTGCGTGTGGTTTGTGATTTTTTTAGGAGGGTATAGTTGTTATTTTGTATTATATATCCCAGAAAAAAATAATTATTTTAGAGGGGTGACTGTCCTCTGGTTCCATCATTGCATGCTGCAGTGCACGCGATAGAGTATAATTTTATAATAAAAAATCACCAAAAAAATCAGTTTTTCAAAAGAGTTGCCAGTCGCACTGCGAGATTGGATTCTGCAGGCAGTAGTAGTTTGGACCGGGCATGTGGAGTTGTGGTGGTCATGAAAGTTGAGTTGTGGTAATGGAAGTTGAAAAAAAAAATTGTGTTTTTTAGTATCATGTAAATTTTTAATTGAATATATATATATAATTTTTAATTCTAATTAATAAATAAATATCTGACCTTGCAATGCAAGGAATTTTTATTTTTTATTATTTAATTATCTAGCCATTAAAATAGATATTTGCACCAAATAAAATAATTTAAATCTTGGAGAAGAAGTATTTTTCAATCTAAATTCTTTTTTCCCATTCATATTTTTTTTGGGTGAAACATATGTTTTTTTCATTGACAACATGGCTTAATGAATAAAAAAAAGATAATTAAAATAAATATTAAAAAAAGCTCTCATGGTTTGAAACATGAAGGGAAAAATGAATCTCTTTAATCAAAACTGTCTTTTTTTACTCACCTCTTCTTTTATAAAAAAAAATATCCTTTTTTATAAAAATAATTTTTTTAAAATAAAAACTTATCATAAATAATAAAATTTTAATAGATAAAAAATAATGAATCAATAATTTTTATGTAAATTGAATATAATTTTTTTAAATAATAATAAAACAATAAAAAGGAATATGTATTTTTACATGCAGTGAATATTCATGGGCATGTTTCTTAAAAACAATTGCACATTGAATTTATATATAATTATTCAGAAAATAATTACTAATATTATAATAAAAAGCTATAATGTTATTCAATGACATGATCAAATAATTATTTAAATGATACTCCAATAAATTTATTTAAAGAGAATCTCGTTATTGAATGTAAAGAAACAGTAAAAAAATAAAAATAAAGAGCTATTTTTTTTATTTTTAAAAAGAGGGCTCGGCGTGCCCAAGCATGGGAGATTGGTTCAAGCATGCTCGGGCCTGCCTAAATGTGGCCTCCGAGCTTTCTTTTATTATCCACCCTATTTTTTTAATGGAATGCACAAAATACTGTCCATCTACAATATTTTTCAATCACTGGAGGGTGCTCCACAAGTGAAAATTAGGGTCTAGTTTTTTTTTTTTTTTAATCTTTAGTAACCAAATTTCAACATTTTTTAAAACTAAAAGCAGCACAAAAAGAAGAAGCATCACGTGGGCCTCAGAAACCATATTTTTAACTGCAATATACATTCTAATAAAACTAGAAATATAGAATTATATCAAATAAAAAAAATATCACACCCCGATTTATTTTTTTCAACATTATTAAAAAAACATAAAACAATTCACATAAAAAATCAATTGAAAGAACATAAAACAAATAAAAAGAAAAAATAAATTATTCCCACGCCATGTGATAATTTTAAAACCACGTGATAATAATAAAAAACTAAAATAAAATAACCTAGGCGGCCATAATCAATTATAAAATGAACAATAAATCCCCCAAAAAACCCAATTATTCCCATCTAACATTTGTTTTTGAAAAAAAAAACAATAATTTTAAAAACTAAAATTGAACACCATAATCAATTTCTAAAACGAACAATAAATCCCGTAAAAAAAAATTATTCCCACCTACCATTTTGTTTTAGAAAAAGAAGACAATAATTTTACTGTTTTAATCCATAATAAATCTGTCCATTTCTTTGTGATTTTCCCACACCGCGGGCCTTAGGCCGTGCTAATTAACGTTGCAGCAGTGACTAGCGTGACGCGTGCAATCAGGTTATCTACCCTCTCAAGGAGGACACCAAAAAGGAAAACCAGCAAAATCCCAATCAACATTCCGCCAACGTGTGATGTGAACTATCCTTCCCTTTTCTAATTTCCAACAGCCTCCCGTCAAAAAGTAAAAACCTCAACCAAAAAAAAAAAAAAAAAAAACAAGACCATCCCTCGTACTAGTCCTCTAACTGTATAAAGTCTCTCAATTGAATCCCCTAGCTCCCAGTTTGATCAAATGGACTTGACATCCATGTATTTCTTCTTTCTAAGATCCAGTCTGAGAGTACGGCTTAGGCTTATATAGAGATTGGTTAAAATTAATTATTTTTTATATAAAATTATTTTTTTATATTTTTAAATCGTTTTATTGTGTTAATATAAAAAAATATATTATTTTAATACAATAAAAAAACAATTTAAAAAACAAGTGTTGTAACACAATCAAATACCTTTGAAAACATTAAACATTGCATATGAAGCTAGTCACGTATTTCTCGATGATGTGTTTTTTTTAAAATTTTAAACATAGAAAAGAATACATATGTCTTAATTTGCCCTTCTAAAATTGAAAGTAATTGCATGGTAATTTCACATGCAAAACCCGAGAGAGCACATGACTAGCATGTGCATAATTTAACGATATCTCCTGTTATTTCAAAAGAAGGACCCAATGTGGGATGTAATTGAGAAAATCGTTAATGGGGTGGACTGATATGAGATTTCCCCTAAATTAAACGATACTAATAAAAACAATTAACTTCTCACCCATGAAGGGAAAAAAAAATAATTAAAAAACCCAAAGCATATTACGATCACACCACCAAATAAATCGCACCGCTTTCCTTTCTCTCTCCGACAACGGAATTCTAGAGAGAGAAAAATTGCAAAAAAAAAAAAAGGAAAAGAAAAACAATTCAGGTTCAATTCACCTGTACCAGACCTTGAAGTCAGTCTCTCTCTCTCTCTCTATCTATCTAAAGATGGCGGTTTTACTCTTTTTTTAACCTCTAAAGAAAAGAAGAAAAAAATTTCTCCATGGAAATGCCCGGTCGAAGATCCAACTACACCCTCCTTAGCCAGCAGGCAGAAGAGCAACAGCAAGCAGCGGCAGCATACTACGAGTCGTCTCTCTCAGGTGACTCGAAAAACAACAAACTAACAATAAAGCAAGAGAGAAGCTTCGTGGATTGGGAGTCGGATCATAGAGCAATAGCAAATCAACAGCAAGGAAACAGTAATCGAATTGGTCTGTATCCATCCTCTGCAGCGATCGGGTTACAAAGGCAATCGAGCGGGAGTAGTTTCGGAGAGAGTTCGCTATCGGGAGAGTATTACCCGCCGACGACACTGTCAACGGGCGGAGGAAATGAGATTGATCAGGCGTATGGGTACGAGGATGGGAATTTTGTGAGGCCGGCGGCCAGACCTCCCGTGGATGTATCTGCTAATAATGGATCGTCAGGGAAGAGTTGGGCGCAGCAAACTGAGGAAAGTTATCAGTTACAGCTGGCTCTGGCTTTGAGATTGTCGTCCGAGGCCACCTGTGCTGACGATCCCCATTTTTTGGATCCAGTTCCGGATGAATCAGCCTTGCGCTCCTCTACCTCTAACTCGCCAGAGGCCTTGTCTCATCGATTTTGGGTATGCTTGCTACTTTATTGCCTGATGAGAGTAATGTATGAGTGAGATATAGAAACGTTGAACTCTTAGATAGCTAGGGAGATGAGGGAAAATTAATTTAGTCGATAAATAATGTTTGAAATCTATTCTAAATGATCATGCAATGAAAATGAACCAATAACATGGAAGACGAGATGTGTTGTTTGAGATAATTTGGGGAAGGATTAAGTTTATCATTTTTTGGTTTGCTCATGACAAAAAGCTTAAAGTTCAGTGGTTGTACATCGTTAAGCTAAATCAAAATTCCTTTCTCGTAATTAGCCCTGCTGCAAATAACTTTCTTCATCATCCCTGTTGCTCTTGGTGGATGATTGCATGGCATTGCTCTCATTTAGTTTTACTGATACTTCTCAATCTGTACCTTTAGATTGAACTTGTGACATGGAAGCGAACTTCACATTAAGCTTGCAGGAGCTGAGTAGACAACCGTTGTCTAACTGTCTTCCAAGTAGTTTCTTCTAGCTTTTGCTTTTGGTGGATCAAAACTCTGGCATCGTTGTCTCTATCCTAGCCTAATAATATCATGCATGCTAGTTCATTTTAGTTTAGTAAAGGGAAAGATCAAATATTCATAGTTCCACTTTTTATTTGGTTCCTCCTATTACAAAATAATAAACCTTGATTATTGGCATTCACTGTGAAAAGATGCTCGTTAATAGTATAATGCATATCAGGTGAATGGTTGCTTATCATACTTCAACAAAATTCCCGATGGATTTTACCTAATTCACGGAATGGATCCATATGTGTGGACTGTGTGCACTGATTTGCAAGATAATGGTCGTATTCCATCAATTGAATCACTGAAGTCTGTGGATCCCAATGCTGATTCTTCAATGGAAGTGGTTTTGATTGATCGACGTAGCGATCCGAACTTAAAGGAACTCCAAAATAGGGTCCATGGCATCTCTTGTAGCTCTATAACAACAAAAGAGGTAGTTGATCAGCTGGCAAGACTTGTTTGCAACCGGATGGGGTGAGTTCTAGTCTTTAATTGTGCGAAAATCTAGGAGGTAGCTTTTTAAATAATACTTTGTTCATCACATTTTTATTGCTATCATAAGGGGGCCAGCCTGCAGAGGAGAAGATGAGTTCATTTCCATCTGGAAGGAATGCAGTGATAATCTAAAAGATTGCTTAGAATCTATTGTGGTTCCAATAGGCAGCCTATCCATTGGTCTTTGTAGACATAGATCTTTACTATTCAAGGTAAGATCTTTCATATTTTCATGCACTGATTTCTGTTTTTGGTTTCAACAGTTAACAAGGTTATTATTTGCAACTTTTATGTGAGTTGCTGTGTTTTAATATTCATCTCAAGTATAATGCATGTTTCTTAACAGTCTGGCTAAAGATTCCTGATTGTGAACTATTTTTTGTAATTTTTTCTTGGTAGCAGAAAGGGACTGACGGAAACTTGTATGATTTGTGCAGGTGTTAGCTGACACCATTGATTTACCATGTCGAATTGCAAAGGGCTGCAAATATTGTAAAAGGGATGATGGTTCCTCCTGTCTTGTTCAGTTCGGGTTTGACAGGTTTTTATTTTTTCCTTTTTGCCAGATTTTGGTGTCTTTTTCTTATGATGTATTCCAATTCAACAATTTATCCAACTTAGTGAGTTGGTTTAAATGGAAAGCTAAATTAATCCTGGTTAATTATGAGTTATTGACATTCTCTCATCATTTTAGATTTTTCCTTTGCATTCTTGTGAACACAACCTCCTTGTTTTTGGGATCGGTTCAACTGCTCATTCCTTGTTACATGTTAAGAACACCGGAGAAATTCATTTTAAGATTAACAAAGTAGAAACACTGCATACAAATTCATTGTAATCAATATCTTGTGTAAAGGTAAACAAAATTTTTTATATCAATAAATACTAAATTGCCGGTTGATTGCTCTGGGTTTTTTGGGTTCTCCTTCTTCCTTCGGGTGCATCAATTGGATCATTCTTTTAATGATGCAATCATGATCTTTTTGGGCGTGGGACTTGGGCAACTGCATGTTTCATACTTACAGCTGCAAGTTGCAAGCAACATTTGACAAATTATGTTTAATTCATTTCAGGGAGTATCTAGTTGACTTAATTGGGAGGCCTGGTTTTTTATGCGAGCCTGATTCCTTTCTTAATGGTCCTTCTTCCATCTCAATTTCTTCACCATTGCGCTTTCCTCGAATCAAATCAACTGAAAGTACTGTTGATTTCAGGCAATTGGCCAAACAATATTTCATGGACTGCCAATCACTTAATCTTGTATTTGATGATGCGTCAACAGGTAAATATTTTAAAAAGAAGCTGTATAAACTACACAAGTCCATCTTTTTTCGACTTGTCCCTGGATTTCTTTATTTGGCTTCAACATGCAATTTTTATTATCTGCTTGCATTGACGAGGGTATCATATGTGTTTGCCAATTTCTCATGTCATATGCCCTTCATTGCAAGCTTTAATTAATTGCCCAAAGCGATCGTTTTATAAGAATTCACTACTTAGATTCTTATATATTGTTATTGCTAATTTCTTTGTTTTGCTGCTAAAGCTTGGTATTGGTTGATAGATTTGCTTTAGAGCATTGTGTCTATGCATGAGGCAATTCAAATGCATAAAAACCCGTATAAAGGTTCCCCCCCTAACCAATGCAGAAATTATTAATTGTACCTAGTTTACAAGTGAGACTGTGAACCAACCATGTGAGGACACAATCATTTTTGTCTTTCCTTTGAATAAAAAAAATCTTTCTTTTATCTTAAAGCCGTAGTTATTGTTTGTTTATTTTAAAGTTGATGATGTTGTCAAATAAGATGATATATCCTTCCACAATTGATTGGTCCTTAGTTGTGAACATGTTCATCTCATAATTTCTCTGGTAGAATACTTGTACTTATCAAACCAAAAATTGTTCAATTATTCGTTCATTAAAGTACTTAAATGTATTGGATGGATTACCTTTTGATGACCTACATTACTATAGACATTCCTAAATTAATTTTATATATCCCATCATGCATAGACTCCCTGACATACGTTTCATATGCTTATTGCTTTACAATCCAAGAGTTTTAGTTTTTTAGCTTTGTGGAAATTGTTGCAATGACATTTACTGTAGACATTCCTAAATTAATTTTATATATCCCATCATGCATAGACTCCCTGGCACACGTTTCATATGCTCATTGCTTTACAATTCAAGAGTTTTAGTTTTTTAGCTTTATGGAAATTGTTGCAACTACATTTATGAAGCAGATAGACAAGACTGGTTTTGAAAAGAAGTTCATGAAGAAACTCAGAAGCTTTTTATATGAAGCTTCAAATTGTTTTAATTATTTTCCTAGTTAATTTTGGGTTTTAATTATTTGTTTACTACGTAGCTTATGACTTATAATTTAATTAGTATTTTATTATTGAAGAATCCTAATGCCAAATGTATTGAATTAATTTGGTAAGTTTTAATTATGAATTTTTTTCTATAAAGAATTTTAGGATTAATATAAATAGGTATATCTAGTTTATTTCGAGATTCAAACTATTTAAACTTTTGATAAAATATTAAAGATTTTCTATATTTCTCTATAGTGTTAGCTCTATAACCTTTGAGCTTCAGAACTCTAGTTTCTATCCTGATATTTGCCTCGTCAATTGGTATCATAGTAGGTTGGCCTCTTTGATGGATGAAGATGATAACAACCCACTAGGCAATGCATGAGTGGAGGCCCTCTGGGGCGTGTGATCATTTGGAGCAAACCATAGTAGATCTAACTTGGGTAATGGGTAACACAACCAAGAATCGTGAGGAAGAGAGGAACTTGTCTGGAGACTTACTTTAAGGCAGGCCTAACCCTGGTCCTATTCTTGAAATTCCACCTAGACAACCAATTGTCCATGTGGATGGTGTTGGTGGAGACGAATTTGATGAGATAGACCATGATAACAAACACATGATTTTCGCATCAAGATAGAAATTACAACATTCTATAGAGATTTGGATATAGAAGAATTCCATGATTAGATCGCTGAATGTGATGGGGTTAAAGAGTACTTTAGTTTCTTGGAAGAGAAGATGGTGGAATTGGTTGCATATAACCTAAAGGGTGGAGTTTCTTCCTAGTGGAAACGTCAAACAGATACATGGTTAAGAGAAGGGAGACAACCTATTATGTCATGGATGTACATGAAGCGATTATTGCATGAGAGATTCCTTTCTCCTGACTATAAACAATATTTGTTTTAGCGATATTAGGATTATTGACAAGATAATAAATTTGTTGTTGGGTATACCATTGAATTTCAAAGTTTGGCAGAACATAACAAACTCCAAGAGATAGAGCATCAGCAGGTTGCAAGGTTTATCAAAGATTTAAAGTAACAATCCAAGACAAGATCAGAGTATGGATGTTTACGCTCTCAAATGTAAGTATTATGACGTTAAAGGGGTTGAGATGCTAATGAAAGAGAAGGTTGGTAGTAGTGAAAGATTTGATAGGTCCAATCCTTCTAGGAGAACATATAATGAGATAAGTGGATTCGGTCCTCCTGATAAGGGGAAGGTAGCAAGCCAACTCTAAAGAGATAGTGAACAAGTTGAAACAATCAAATTGAATAAACCCTATGCCATGCCAATGATAGCCAAGTGCTTTAAATATGGAGAACCAGGACACTGTTCTAGTGATTGTAGGAGAGAAATCGGTCGATCTAATTAAAAGGCAGTATAAGCTAGAACCCTCTAATGATAAGGGTGAGCTGTGTGAACTTGATGGGTATGACAAAGAAGATTTTTATAAGAATGATGATGAGAGACAAACCTATGTGGTTAGAAAGATGCCGCTAACACTAAAGGTTGTTGCAGCGAAACAAATTATTTCATAACCGTTGCACTATAAATAAAAACCTGTTTGACTTAATTATCTATAATGAAAGCTGTGAAAATATTATTGATAAATATATTGTTAATAAATTGAAATTACCACAAGAACCTCATCTTGAACTTTACAAGATTGGATGAATTAAGTTAGTAAGAGAGATAAAGGTAAACCAATGATGTAGAGTACCTTTTTCCACTGGGAAGTATAAGGATGAAATGTATTGTGATGAGGAAAATATGGATGCTTGTAGTTTGATTTTTGGCGGGCCTTGACAATATGATGTGGATGCTAAACACCTGGGTAGATATAATTTGTATAAAATTAGAAAGAATGGTGTTGAGTTATACTCTTGTGTCTTTGAAGGGATAATCCAACCCTAAAGCTTTTAAAGTAGAGGGGAAGACTTTCTTACCATAACTAGTTCAGGACTTGAGATGCAAGCAGGGGTATGGAAAATTAGGCAAATTCATGCATTGGTTGTGAAGACATTAGTGGATGAACATACCAAAAAAAAATGTACAAACATTCTTGAAACAATTAAGCCTTTATTTGCTGATTTTAAAGAGATTCTACCTGATGAATTGCCTGATGGGTTGCCATTGATGAGAGACATTCAACATCATATTAATTTGGTGCCGGGAGCGAGCCTTTAAGTCTTCCACATTACTGAATGAGCCCTAAAGAGGGTGAGATATTAAAGAAGGTAGAAGAGCTGTTGAGAAATGGTCAGATTCAAAAGAGTAAGTTCTTATGCATTTTCAGCATTGTTAACTCCAAAGAAGGATGGCAATTGGCATTTGTGTGGACAATTGCGCCATTAACAAATAACCTTGGGATACAAGTTTCTAATCCTCGGTTAGATGACATGCTTGATTAGATACATAAGGCATCAATCTTTACAAAGATTGACTTGAGGAGCAGTTACCCTCAAATTCGGATTCGGTTAGGTGACAAGTGAAAGACAACTTTCAAGACAAAAGAGGGATTGCACGAGTGGTTGGTTGTGCCTTTTGGGCTATCTTATGCGCCAAGCATTTTTGTAAGGGTGATATATTTTTTCTACGATAAGTTTATGGTTGTTTATTTTGATGATATCTTGATTTATAGTAGATCTGAGATTAATCACGTTGGACACTTGAGGAAGGTGCTTTAAGTGCTGCTAGAAAACAAATTATATGTGAATATGAAGAAGTGTAGTTTTATGATTGATATGCTACTGCTTTTAGGCTTTATTGTTAGTTCAGATGATATACATGCTAATGATGAGAAGGTCCAGGCCAACCCCCCTAACACAGATAATGAGGCTTGTAGTTTCCATAAGTTAACTACTTTTTATTGGTGTTTCATTAGAGATTTTAGTAATATTACGAGACCCATTACTGATTGCATGAAGAAAAGGAAATTTGATTAGGGGAGAAGAGGCAGAAAAGAACTTTGCTTTAATCAAAGAAAAACTAAGGTTTTAGCACCTCCAAATTTTGATAAACTGTTTGAGGTAAAATGCAATGCTTGTGGTGTTGAGATTGGTGAAGAGTTCTATCCTAAGAGAAGAGAACCATGACATTTTTTGGTGAGAAGTTTAGTGATGCCAGGTTGAAGCAGTCCACATGCAACAAAGGGTTCTATGCTATTTTTTTAAACTCTTATGAAGTGAGAGCATTAACTGATTGGTAAAGAGTCTATGTTGTATTCTAACCATGAGGCGTTGGGATTTTTACATAATTAGAGAAGAATAAGTGATGACATGTATGCAAGATGGGTTGCTAACCTTTAATGGTTTCCAATTAGAATTGTGCATGAGGTTGGGGTTCAAAATAAAGTTGTTAATGCTTTGAGTAGAAGAACAACTTTGCTGGTTACTCTTAAGGGATCACTGGATTCAACTATTTGAAAGAGTTTGTACGAGTGTGATGAGGATTTCAGTGAGGTATGGAAGAAGTGTTAAAAATTGCCTACTGATTACTTTCACATTAATGATGGATTTCTGATGAAAGGTAATCAACTTTGCATTCCCCGGTCTTCATTACAGGAGAAAGTGATTCAGGATTTGCATGGAAAGTTTTGATTGTCACTTGAGGTGACAGAAGACTACTAATGTTGTCCGTGATGATATTGTTAGCCTCACTTGAAATGGGATATTGGTAAGTTTATGCAAAAATATTATATTTGTCAAACTGCAAATGAACCAAGTATAGAATACAATTCTATATATATATATAGCCTCTAATTATTCTTAAATACATATGGAAGGACTTGTCTATGGATTTTGTACTTGGATTGCCTCGTGCACAAAGGGATGGATTTTGTATTTGTTGTAGTTAACAGGTTCTCAAAGATGACGCATGACACATTTTATTCCTTGTAAAAAAATGAATGATGTGTCTGCTATTGCTTACTTTTCTTCCGAGTGGTGGTTCATTTACATGGTTGTTGAAGACCATCTTGATATGGACAGTAAGTTTCTCAGTCACTTTTGGCATATGCTATGGAAAATGTATGATTCTTCATTACAGTTCAGTAGGACAAATCCATGGATAGATATAGAGACCACTGAATTGAACACTTGAAAACTTGTTAAAGAGCATTTGCAGTGACAAGCTGAAACAATGAGATTATGCCCTTGCACAAGCAAAATTTCAAATAACAGTGCTAGGCATAGTGCCACAGGTAAATAACAAATTGTATATCTACATTGTTCTCAGTATTTGCTAGATCCGATGCCAATTCATAAGGGTGTTAGGTTTAATGTGGCTACGAAGAAGATGACTATGAATGCGCAAGCTACTATGGAGGATGTGAAGTAGAAGTTGATGAAGACTAATACCAAATATAAGGAAGTTGTTGATATACACTGCCTAGCTGAAGTGTTTAAGGAAGGAAATAAGGTGATGGTGTTCTTTCACAACAAGATATTTCCAGTGGGATCGTATAGCAAACAACAACAGAATAAATATGGTCTTTACACCGTCTTGACAAAGATTAGTGACAATGTTTATGTTATTGATTTACCTAATAATAGGAGTATTTCCAGAACTTTTAACATGTCATACATTTATTATTTCTATGATGATCAACCTTTGTATCCAAAGTTTAGAGATAACTCAATGAGTCTTTTGCGAGTAGAAGGATTGGTGAGAAGCGTGTCGCAACTACATTTATGAACCAAATAGACAAGTCCAATCTTGAAAAGAGTATGTGAAAAAATACATAAGCATGCGATATAAAGCTTGAAGTTGTTTTAATTATTTTCCTAGTTAATTTTGGATTTTAATTATTTGTTTTCTATCTAGCTTAGAATTTGTAATTTAATTAGTATTTTACTTTTTAAGAATCTTAATGATAAATGGATTCAATTAATTAGGTAAGTTTTAATGAGGAATTCTTTTCTATAAAAGATTTAGATTTTTAATAAAATATCAGAAATTTTCTTTCTTTCTCTACTGTGTTAGAGCCCTCACCTTAGAGTTTGAGAACCAATTTCTATCCTTGCTATTCTCCGCATCACATGAGACTTATTTGATGGTTCTAATCTGCATGCTTTAGCTTCTTTGTAACTTTGATAACAAAAGACCAAGCAGACGGTTGTGTGGTATAATAACCTTTTCTCTTCTCATAATTGATTTTGGAGAAAAAGCCTTGATCTTGGTGGTAATCCAGTCACTTTTGGAAGGATAGGAAGCCATGTTGACTTCTTATGTGTATTTAAGAGACCTCCTTTGTTAAATTAGGTTTTCTTTTTTAACTCTTTAGCATGATAACTTAAGTACTTCATCAGTGTTAATATGTGTTTAAACAAACGGGTGTTTTGCTTTGAATAATTTAGTTTGGGTATGATAAGAGTATAAAAATAAGTTAATGGTTTGGTTAGCTGGAAAATTTTGTAAGGGTAAATTGTAAAAGTTGGTCAAAGTAGAGATAATTACTGAACAAATTATTCCGTGCAATTATTAAGAGAAGGCACATAAAGTACAAAAAACCATCTATCTCTACTTTTGACGTAATGGTTTTTCCTGTGCTTATATGCCTTTTCTAATTTTGGTTCAAGAATTACGTTTAACTTTAGATGGTAGTTGCTGAGGTGGAGTATTATCTTTATGGTTAATTTGTTACGAACTTAGCCAGAAGCTCATCTCATTTTTAAGTTTAATATAGATTGATAATTTCTAATTTAGTGAATTGCACCTTTTTAAAGTCTGCTAACCATGTGCTTGTCATATGAGCATAATAAACAGGTCATGTTGATGTGGTTTGTGTGCATTTTATATTTCCATATTATTGCCATTAGTTCTTGTCTTTTTCGGTTCTTTTCCAATCCAATTACAATCATGTACATATTCATTTTGATTTCCTTATTTCCATTACCCGTATGTGATGTATGATATGCTGACCATCAAATTTACTAAGCGTTGCTAGTAGTATTTATGTCTAATTATTGAATTCCCATGCGAAACTGGAATTTGATTTTGATGTTTCTGCTTTCTATCGAATCCAAAGTGTAAAATCGGGCTTTTGCATCCATTAGCTTTCCATGTAAAATCGAGAAGAAAATGCTAAGTTTCTATTGCTATTGACTGCTGTAAATGCAGGTACTGTTCATGATGGTGAAGCTCCTGGATTTTCCATGTATCCTAAAAAAACTGACAGGACAGACTCGGAAATAAGTAACCATGTGCAACTCCCAAGCAACAGCAATGAAATTTCTCAGTTACCTCTGCCACTGAAAGTTAGTCGGATAAGTGGCCAAGATAGAAACAGTCAACTTTTTAAATCGTACAATCCTTCCCAGAATGATAAACAATCAATGAATGTGGTCAGAGATCCAATCCCATTAAAGAAAATCCCACCAGTTATGCATAGAGATGCACAGCCACTTATATCATTTTCTGATCAAAGAGTTGATGCCAGTAAAGATTCCATGTTTTCTGAAGGTAGTCAACTGCTTTCTGGTAAAAGAAGTAAAGAACTTCCACTTGATGCGGAGGATTCGGATATTCCATGGAATGATCTTGTTTTAAAAGAGAGAATTGGAGCAGGTACTTTTCTTGATAGACTTGGAATAAAAAAACATGATCATGGTATATTAGCATAGCACCCATGCTTCTTTCATGCCATTATGCTATTGGCCCTGATTTTCTTGGGGAGACTGCACTTATTTTGTGAATGGGTGTATTTTCAGGTTCTTTTGGAACTGTCCATCGTGCTGACTGGCATGGCTCGGTAAGCTTTTCGTATTTGTTTATGCAGTTGAATCACGATAGAAATGGTGAAGACATGTTTTGCACTCTGATTTCTTCTCTGGTTTCTGAATGTTGATAACAATCCATGATAGGTTAGTGTAGGATATGTTTATATTTATTTGGGGTGGAGATTTTAAGAATGGTTATTTGCCTGACCGCTTGATAGAATCTGAAGGAATATGGAAACTTAAGCTGTATGGGACAATGTTTAATTTCGGTAAAATCCAAATTAAAAAGGAAAACAAGTTGAATTTTATTATTTGCTTGCCTTTTATCTCAACATAGCATCCGAAGGACTATAACATTCACCTGATCAGATAGTTCTATGGGGTGCAGCTATGGTGTTATGTTCAAGCAATATTGCAGCCCTCAAGTTCTTGCTGGGACTGCAATCAACATACCTATGATGCATTTTTTATCACCCAATATTTTTGCATTTTTATATTGCCAAGAAAAGCCTGTCCTTTATCTTGTTCCAATTTTTCTTTTTTATCTGTACTCATCTCATGCGGTATTGCTGTCATTCTTGCATTTGAAAATAGAAGGATGCATATATATATATATATATATATAGTCATTTTTTAGCGGACATTTAAATGTTGTTTGCCTTCTCCATTAATTGAATTTTCTTGAGGTTTATTTTAAACTAATATTCTATGATCCAATCAATTGCACAACATTTTGAATATATGTGGTAATTGCAGGATGTTGCTGTGAAAATTCTCATGGAGCAAGACTTTCATGCTGAACGCTTCAAGGAATTTCTGAGGGAGGTGTGTTTCATCTAGAATTGAGTGTGATGTGCACTAAGCTCAAGAATTTTTTTTCTTCTATTTCTTCGTTTGTATTTGATATGTGAAGCTTCATATCTTTTGTTCAGGTTGCAATAATGAAACGCTTGCGGCATCCAAATATTGTTCTTTTTATGGGTGCAGTTACTCAACCGCCAAACTTATCCATAGTGACCGAATATTTATCAAGGTCCTGTTATTTCTTAGAAACTGCCCTCCTATTTCTTGTATAACGTGGTCTCTATAGATTAAAACCGTTGTCTGCTTCAATTATTTGAATGTAAATCTTATCGCTGTTGAAGTTAAACCAACTAAATATTTTTTTTTGCACTGCAGGGGTAGCTTGTATAGGCTTTTGCACAAGTCAGGTGCAAGAGAGGTGCTGGATGAAAGGCGTCGGTTGAATATGGCTTATGATGTGGTATGCATGTGAAAACTTCATGTTTTCTGTAATCTCTTCCTTTTCTATATTTAAACTCGTTATGGGCATTCAATATCAATATCGTCTCCTTGTCTGGGATAGCTAATTGAGTTTTCATTGTTGTTCACAGGCAAAGGGTATGAATTATCTTCACAAGCGTAATCCCCCCATTGTCCATAGAGATCTAAAATCTCCTAATCTTTTGGTTGACAAAAAATATACAGTGAAGGTAAGGCTGATAAATCCTTGCATGTAGGAGAAAGACTGCCAATTTCCCATTTTATGATTAGAGAGGAGGGAAACATAATTAAACTCTGTTGCCTTTTTCAATCATGAATTTAATTTGTAATATATGAAGCCTTGGTAGGCTTTGAATAATATACTGTTAAACAACTGGATCTAGGTAATTCACAGGGCTTGTTATCTTTTTCCCTACATGGTTAGATGCTATCATGTCCTGGTATTGTTGCTTGCTATGGTTTTGCTTTGAGTATTTCTGGGTTGTCTCATGGATGAAAGCTAGCCTGTTCAGGATAGTCATTTTTCTTGCTTGTATGATGCATCACATTGGCAATGCTTTGTGAAATTTTTTATTGTCAAGTTCCAATTCAACGTGAGTGTTGATGTCATACTGCATGATGAAGTTGCGAATTTCAGCACAGTGAAGAGATAGTAGATGTATAGATTAATGTGATATTATTTATGCCTCAGTTAGAAGGATATGTGATTCTGTTAACAAGCGAGCAGGTTTATGAAGGAAAATTTGCTTGGCATCTTTTGTTTTCTTTTGTAGGAATTGCTTTGTGTACCAGGGTGTGTTCTGTGGCCTCCAAATGTTGTTTTATTTCTTTTTTCGTTTCTGTTAAGATTTCATTTTTGTTATCAAGTACTTCTATTACTTTGTTACATGTCTTTCCCTTTTGCATGCTTTGTCTGATCTATTCAGGTTTGTGATTTTGGGCTTTCTCGTTTCAAAGCAAACACATTTCTTTCATCAAAGTCAGCAGCAGGGACTGTAAGTGCAGTAAAACTTAACAGCAACAACATGACTGGATCTTTGTTTTAAGGTGGCATGGGACACTCTTTATTAAAATATGTGCTTAACAACACCTTTTCCAATTTATTAGCCTGAGTGGATGGCACCTGAAGTTCTCCGTGATGAACTTTCAAATGAGAAGTCTGACGTATACAGCTTTGGTGTAATCTTGTGGGAGCTAGCAACATTGCAGCAACCTTGGAGCAATTTAAATGCAGCACAGGTTTGTGTTATGATAGTTTGATTTTTGATTGGGAAATGATAGAATTTGAATGGGCAGATTATCCCATGTTGGCAATTTAACTGATTATTGCAATTAGGATTAAGAAAGATATTGGAAATGGATACTCAGAATATTATTAAATGAGACAATATCCCATTAGTAGATGTCTGCATTAATAACAAGTCAGTTGAAACTATAAAAAAGACACCCGCCAGTTTAGGCCTCTCTAATTTATCGGACCCACATTGTGTTTTATCCTTCCTCAAGGTCCTCAGTTGGAAAGTTGCTTTCTGACGCTAGCTTTTATGCCTAGACATCCCATACAAAATAGATGCCTTTCCCTTCACGTTCCACGCATTTAGCTGAAGTTATGTGTTCATCATAAATGGGCACACGACCTATTTTTAAGGTGTCCACCTCCAGGCTGCAGTAATGGGCTAAAATAGGGCCAGTTCTATTGCTTGAGGGGTGTAGAAGCTGTTTGTGTGCTTTTATTAAAGCTTTTCGAGCTTATTTAGGAGCCAGACTACTGCATGTGTGTGGTTATTGAAGTTTTTTCATTTTATTTAAGTGTTGCAAAATATACCCTCATTTTGGTTATTGTGGTGGCCGCCAGTTCTGCTGTCTCATTCACATACTCCAGCACTTTTATGTGGGATGATTTTATTATGCCTGTGTTCATCCTTGTCTTTTCTTTTTCATGGCTGATGCAAGTTCGGTTACTTGTTACATTGTGTTTTTGCAATCACTGGTGACAATACATTGTTTGAAATCGATTACAAGATATAGATTATGGATATGGATACTATCTTATAGGTTGTGGCAGCTGTTGGTTTCAAGGGCAAAAGGCTTGAGATTCCACGGGATTTGAATCCTCATGTGGCTGCTTTAATAGAAGCGTGCTGGGCGAAGTAAGTTGCAACCCTTTTCAGTTAGTTGTACACGCTATTTTCACCCCCATTGTTTTTTATTTATACAAATGGTTTCCTGCAGTGAACCATGGAAACGACCTTCCTTCGCCAGCATCATGGATTCATTGAGGTCATTGATTAAACCTCCGACACCTCAGCCTGGTCTTGCGAGCATGAGTTTGCTTGCCTGAAGGATTGGAACACCTGCAGTCTTATTTGTGCACATAATACAGCATTCTTTTGAGATTGGTGTCTGTCAGGAAGAGCCACTGTCTAATCGTCTCAGGTGCAATCCAGCTTGATATGCTAACGTTGAATGATGCCTGAATCTAGAGTCAGCATAACCTTTTCTGCTGCGACAAATATTGTTTGCCTAGGTGGGTAAATTGTGTAAAGTCTTGTAATTTTGCATGTAAAGTCTGTAACTTAAATTAGCTTTAATGAGAAGTAGCTTCCTCGGCATTCAACATTTGAGCACGAAAAGGTAATCTTCAGTTGCTATCAGATTTCAATTTTTCACCCTACTTTGCTCGAACAGCTAAACAATACAACAAAGCAAAGTCAAATATATCAATAGCTTTTTCATTAATCTCAACTAATTTTGCATTTATTTCCACACATTTCAAAAACATGTACGACTTAATAAATGCTCTATAAATGGAGGTTTTTGGTGTTTTATTTCGGGAGGGTGAGGGTGGTAGTAATTGTTTTTTAAAATGATTTTTGTTGGAAAATGTATTAAAATAATATATTTTTTTAAAAAAATATTTTTAATATCATGATTTAAAAATTTATATGTAAAAAAATAATTTTAAATAAAAATAAATTAATTTTTATAAAATGCAATTTTAGCTGTGATGAAAACAAGGCATGATAGGCGGTAAAATGTTAACCAAACAACTCAATTTATAAATCATATCTAACTTCATTATGAATTGTTTCCTTTTAAATTTATTTATTTTAAAGATTTCATTTTAATTAAAATTTAGCTATTCATATGAGCTACTGAGGTAGTTTGTAACGGATGGATTCTTGGGTTTAATTTATGTGGTGGATGAATTTTTCAAGAGCACGTTATAGGAGTGAGCAAAAAATAGAAAAATCAATTAAATTAAAAAAACTAAAAAAATCAAATCCAATGTAAATAGAGTTAAATTAGAAAAAAATCAAGTTAAATAAAAAAAAAGAACTAAAATAGTTTGAACCAGTTTTTTCTTTTAAATGACTAAAAGGAACTAAAATTAGTCAATTTGAATCAATTTAAAAAAACTAGTTTTAGTTATTTTTTTAATAAAAATAAAACTAAATAAAAAATAATCACCTTGTCACCTCATTGCATCTAAGTTGAAAAGGATAAATTGTATAAGGTATAGTTGTCCTCTATTGAGTTGTGCTATTAAATCTAAATTAGGGTTATCTATAAAGAATTATGATAGGGTGGTTTGTGAATATCCACGTGGTGGAGATGATGACATCATATGATGTAATAAAAAAAGTAAACTTGCATATATACATTATGAATCCAAGTATGACCATCAACATCCAAGATAAAATTCCTGCATGAAGATCCAAAAAAACAAAAAACAAAAAACAAAAAGAAGAAAAGGACATTTTTGCTCTAAGAGGTTGGAGAATCGAAACTGAACTGCTTTTTTATTTTTCGCGGAGAAGGGCTTTCATTTTTTGTACTCATCTTTAAAAATCTTAAAAAAGATAGAGACTCTACCAATATTAAAAGAAGAAGAAGGAAAAAGGTTATCTTTATTTTTACTCCTAACCTTAATTATTAGTCTCAATTGGAAAATTTAGGATTTCTCTTTTTTTTTGTTTTTTAAACCAGTTTTTTCTTTTAAATGACTAAAACGAATTAATTTGAATCAATTTAAAAAAATTAGTTTTAGTTATTTTTTTAATAAAAATAAAACTAAATAAAAAATAATCACCTTGTCACCTCATTGCATCTAAGTTGAAAAGGATAAATTGTATAAGGTATAGTTGTCCTCTATTGAGTTGTGCTATTAAATCTAAATTAGGGTTATCTATAAAGAATTATGATAGGGTGGTTTGTGAATATCCACGTGGTGGAGATGATGACATCATATGATGTAATAAAAAAAGTAAACTTGCATATATACATTATGAATCCAAGTATGACCATCAACATCCAAGATAAAATTTCTGCATGAAGATCCAAAAAAACAAAAAAAGAAAAAAAAGAAAAGGACATTTTTGCTTTCTAAGAGGTTGGAGAATCGAAACTGAACAGCTTTTATATTTTTCGGGGAGAAGGGCTTTCATTTTTTGTACTCATCTTCAAAAATCTTAAAAAAGATAGAGACTACCGATATTAAGAGGGGGAGGAAAAATATTATCTTTATTTTTACTCCTAACCTTAATTATTAGTCTCAATTGGGAAATTTAGGATTTCTCTATTTTTTATTTTTTGTTTTTAATTTTTAAAATGTATTTCAGAAATAATTAATAGGATATTAATATTTCTATAAAATTACCCATTTGAATTTTAAACAATTTATCTTATTTATTTAAATTATAAATTGAAATTTTGATATATTATATATGTCCCGGGTAAGTAGCATATAAATAAAATATTTAAAAAATGTGTACGTATACATTTGCAGCCAGCTAGTAGCTAGGTAAGTTAATAATGGTGAGTTCTTGTAGGGA